GGCAGCAGCTTCTGGCACGGACACTGGCGCAACAACTCCCCTGCCTCTGATCGAAGTGTGACGCCACCTCCTGCGCCTCGATCCCACCGGTCTCCATCGCCACGGCGCCGCCCATCGTCACCACATCAGGAAAACTAAACAGTGCGGCCGATGGGGGTGAGGTCGCTGGTGACTTGCTGCAAAACGAAATACCCCCGTCTGTGTTGATGTTCAAGAACAAGGTAGAAGTTTTTGTTGATGGTGTGTGTACGATGGCTTTGGTGGATACTGGTGCTACAGTTTCGATTATGAGTGCTGCTTTTAAACACCGTTTAGGACAAAAGGTGATGTTTTTGTGGGAGAAGGCAACAACATTCTGTGGCGTTGGTGGTAACTCGCTGTGTCCCATTGGTGTCTGTACCGCAGAAGTGTGCTTGGGTGATCAAGTGTTTGTCACAGAGTTTACGATTCTTCCAAGGAGCACACACGACATAATCCTGGGGATTGACTTCCTTCGAATGTGTGGCGCCACTGTTGATTGTAGAAATGGAGAGGTGTACATATGTGATGCTGCCCCTGGAGAACTATTAGAGAATTCAGACAGGGAGCACGGTGCGCTCCGGGTCAGTGAAGATAGCATTGTGCCGGCATTCTCTGCAGTCTGTGTTCCTGTATACTCTTCACGCATTGAAAACAGTGACAGTGCGTTCGACGCATTAGTGGAGCCCTTTCATCTCAGTTGCATTAAGAAGAACACATTGGTGCCGCATTGCATAGTGTCACTCGTTCAAGGACGCACAGGACTATGGGCGGTAAACTGTTCAGCTGAGTCGGTGGTTCTACCAGGAGGACTGAAGCTTGCCAAGTTCAAAACATACTCACCGATGGCAGTGGCTGCCCTCAGTGATGCTCCAGGTGGGGCCTCAGCCAATACTTCTACGGCCGATTCAAAACTTTTACCTATGATCGACAAGTCACTTACTACTGACAAACGCCGCATGCTTCTGGACGTTTTGTCGAAATACGTGGCGATTTTCGATTTTTCCCATGACCATGCGCCCTCGATTCCCGCGTCTCGGATTCTCCACAGGATAAACACGGGAACAGCACAGCCCATCCGCCAGAAACCCTACCGAGTGTCGCCGTCTGAGCGCAAGATAATTGATGAACAAGTGCGTGATATGCTGCAGAAGGGTGTCATTCGAGAATCATCGAGTCCTTGGGCGGCTCCCGTGATTCTAGTCAAAAAGAAGGATGGTACCTGGAGATTCTGTGTGGACTATCGCCGTCTAAACTCCGTCACAAAGAGAGATGTCTACCCTCTCCCACGCATTGATGACGCTCTAGACTGCCTCCATTCAGCATCCTACTTTTCGTCCATAGACTTACGCTCAGGCTATTGGCAAATACCTGTGCATTCAATGGACAAAGAAAAGACGGCTTTCGTTACTCCGGATGGACTATATGAATTTAACGTGATGCCTTTTGGTCTATGTAACGCGCCCGCTACATTTGAAAGATTCATGGACACCATTCTGCGCGGCCTGAAGTGGAACATCTGTATGTGTTATCTTGACGACGTTGTTATCTTCGGGCGTACATTCAGTGAACATAACGAAAGGGTAGAGCTGGTTTTGAAATGTATTCGAAATGCTGGCTTGGTTCTTAATGCAAAGAAGTGTCATTTCGGAGCTCGACAAACACTGGTGCTGGGACATCTCGTCAACAAGGATGGCATCAGGCCCGACCCGAATAAGACGGCGGCTGTTAGAGCTTTTAAACCACCTGGCTCAGTGAAGGAGCTTCGGAGCTTCTTGGGCCTCTGCTCTTACTTTCGCCGATTTATTCCCGCCTTTGCAGAAGTTGCCTTTCCACTGACCTGTCTTCTCCGCCAAGGTGCTAGTTTTGAATGGACTCCTGATTGTGAAACTTCTTTCAACCAACTGAAGTTCTTGCTCACGTCGCAGCCTATCCTGCGGCACTTCGATCCTTCTGCGGCGACTGAAGTTCACACCGACGCAAGCGGCATTGGCATAGGTGCAGTCCTCATACAGCGATGTAATCAAGTGGAACACGTAATCGCATATGCCAGTCGTACTTTAAGTAAGCCGGAACGCAATTACACTGTGACCGAACAAGAATGCCTTGCACTCGTCTTCGCTGTGCAGCGATTCCGCTCATACCTATACGGTCGTCCTTTCCAAGTAGTTACGGATCATCATTCTTTGTGCTGGCTTATCAACCTTCGGGATCCGTCAGGCCGTCTAGCACGCTGGGCCCTCCGGCTGCAAGAGTACAACTTCACGGTATCGTACAAGAGCGGCAGGAAACACGCGGACGCAGACTGCCTTTCAAGGATGCCAGTTGATGCTACAGTTTGCGACGCTGACGATTTCGATCATCTGATTGCGTCCGTAGCACCAGCGTTCCCGGATAAGGCCACCTTTGAAACTGAGCAGCGGAAGGACGTGAGTTTGAATCCGTTATTCGTGATCGCACAAGCATCCACTCCGGAAAGCCGCTTTTGCGTCCGTGATGGTCTACTGTACAAGAAATCCATCTCCGGCACCGGTTTCCGCTTCCTGCTGGTGGTTCCAGAGGCACTACGGTCATCTGTTTTGTACGCCATGCATGATGACGCCACTTCAGGTCACCTCGGAACGACGCGCACTCTTCATCGTACCCAGGAACGCTTCTACTGGCCACGTATGCGCCAGTCAGTTGAGTTGTACGTGGCCAGTTGTGCGCAATGCCAGGCGCACAAATCTCTCTCAGCAGCTCCGGCCGGACATCTACAACCTGTGACGCCTCCCAGTTCTCCGTTCGAACAAATTGGCATTGACCTGGTGGGCCCTTTTCCGCGTTCATCGAAAGGCAACAGATGGATTGTGGTATGTGCTGACCATCTTACTCGGTACTGCGAGACTGCTGCCCTGCCATCCGCGACTGCTGGTCAAGTGTCGTCCTTCCTTCTCCATTCTATCATACTGCGTCATGGGCCCCCTCGCGTCATCATAAGTGACCGTGGACGTCAATTCACGGCAGACGTTGTCGAACAACTTCTCCGTATGTGTGGCTCAGAGCTCAGACACTCGACGCCTTATCACCCGCAGACGAATGGTCTCGTCGAGCGAACAATTCGAACACTGGTGAATATGCTTTCTATGTACGTTGCTTCGAACCACAAGAACTGGGACGATGTCTTGCCGTTCGTCACATACGCGTTTAATACTTCCCAACATGAGACCACCGGCTACAGCCCGTTCTTCCTCCTCTATGTTCGACCCCCCCGTTATACTCTGGATACAATATTTTCCTTCTCTGATCGGGACCAATCAGAAATCTCCCTAGCAGAAACTCTTTGTCTCGCCGAAGAAGCTCGTCGTCTTGCTCGTTTACGTACAATAGCCTCGCAAGACAGATCGAAAGTTCGTTATGACAGCAAGCACCGGCAGGCCACATATATTCCGGGAGATCTCGTGTTGGTGTGGAAGCCTTTACGCAAACGTGGCTTGTGCCAAAAACTGCTCGCGCACTACATCGGACCTTTTGTTATCCTTGACCGCCTGAGCGCAGTCGACTACCGCATCGCACGTCTTACAGCTAGCGGGAGACGTTCCAGAAAGACAGAGGTCACGCATGTCGCTCGCCTGAAGCCTTTCAGTCAACGCGACACTGCATGAAACGCGCGGCGCGCTTTGTCTGCGAGGGGGGAAATGTTACGCCACGTATGTGCCGGACGAAGAAGGAAAAAGAAGCAAGGGGTGTGGAAGAAGAAGATCATCATCATCTGCCTGCGCCGATTCGGCTCGTCCCTCGAACCGTGTATCAATAAACCCCCAGACGCCTACTGAGGTCGTAACAATATCCTTAACCCCAATTTGTTCCCTAATCCACTCTGCTCTCTTCTTGTCTCTTAAGGTTACACCTACCATTTTCCTTTCCATTGCTCGCTGCATCGTTCTCAATTTCAGCTGAACCCTCTTTGTAAGTCTCCAGGTTTCTGCTCCGTAGCTAAGTACTGGCAAGATACACCTGTTATATACCTTCCTCTTGAGGGATAGTGGCAATCCACCTGTCATGATTTGAGAGTGCTTGCCAAATGTGCTCTACCGCATTCTTATTCTTCTAGCTACTTCAATGTCGTGGTTCGGCTGCACGGTTATTACATGCCCTAAGTAGACATAGTCTTTTAGAACTTGAGGTGCAGTATTACCTATCTCGAAGCGCTGCTCTCTTTCGAGGTTGTTGTACATTACTTTCGTTTTCTACAGATTAACTTTAAGACCCACCTCTCTGCTCTCCTTGTCTAACTCCGTAGTTATGAGTTGCATTCCGTCCCCTGAGTTACTCAGCAATGCAATGCCATCGGCAAAGCGCAGGTTACTAAGGTACTCTCCATTATCTATTATACCCAACTTTAGCATTCTATATAGCTGAATAAATTGCTAGCCACATTAGTTGGTGCACCTTCCGCGGCAAGTTAACAGTGCTGACAGAGGTCACTCCGGCTGTGTGATGTGGTTTTTTTAATATTTAGATTAATTGATCTATATGTGGTGTTTAACATCGCGAAACCACCATATGATTATGAGAGACGCCGTAATGGAAAGCTGCAAAAATTTCGAGCACCTGGGGTTCTTTAACGTGCACCCATATCTGAGCACACAGGCCTCAAGCATTTGCGCCGTCATCGAAAAAACGGCCGCCGTGGTCGGGATTCGATCCCGCTACCATCGGGTCAGCATGTAGTCGAACACTGTAGCGGCTAGATCACCGTGGCGGGTGTTGATCCTTGTATACCAAGACCACCTGCACCCACTTTAGTACTGTGATCAACAATTAGTCCCAAATGTTATATAGGTACACCATGCGAAGCGTTAGTCTATAAGTACATCAACTGACGATGAATGACGCTTTCATTCCGCCATGCATCAAATCAATCCAAAAATTCGCGAATATCAGAAGAACCTGACTGGCCCGCGAGAATAAAACCACGAGCAGAGTATACCTGTACTGACCGAAATCAAGGCTTCGTAGTACGAGCCCTTCCATATGAAGGGCCTCAAGTTGGGTCGGTCGACTACGTCTTCGACGCTATCCACTTGAGTCGGCTCGTTCTTGATCGCCATGCTGGATTTGAGGTGACCCGCGAACGAGTTCGCGATCACGAGAACGGCCAGAAGCCACGAAGTCATTACGATGCGCCCCGATGTCTGCGAAGTCGCGCGCGGTGAACCTGCGAAAGAATATCGGCAACATTGTGCGCGATTTAAAAAAAGCGGTGAAGGGTTCGACCAGTTACTGGTATTTGAAGTACGTCTAATTAGTAATTAGCACAAAGTAGAAAAACCGTGACGGTAGTACAACCGTGAATAGACGGAAACAGATAGACGGACGAATCAAGAAAAAGTTGAAAAGTCCATACATGGCGTGCCTGATTTGCCAGCTACACTAAAAGAGGTGCAAAAGCTGAGGAATAATCAATGTGAACACATACGACCCGAGGTGCCAGTGAGGCTAACAATTTCATTACACAATAAAAAGTACGTCAGGCAATGCGCCCTTCTGTATGTATTCGTTTGACAAAGTGCAGGATTTCCACCGAATATATACTTTCATTCAAGCGGTGGAGTCAAGAGGTCACATTTCTGAATTCACAGGAATTGACCGTAGCAGGGAAGATGATCAACAGTATCCTCACTGACACCGTCTTCCGGCTACACCCGTGCAGGCCACTCACCACATATATAGTTGCCAAGTAAAATCTACATTGCAGTCTTATGCCAGCGAGTAGTGCGTAGGAGCAGTTCGATATAGAGTAGGATACGGAATATATAAGAACAGCGGCGACTAATCTGAGTATGCCCTTCATGTTCCTGGTGGCCTCTTCGAAAAGATTAAAGTTAAGGTGGCTATTGCGTTACTCCTATAAAAAAATACTATAGGCCTACGCAGAAGACAGTGCACAGTCACAGCGATAGCTTGAAGAGCGAGTTTTCTAGAGCACACTGTAAACTCTCTTGGGGCAGTTAATACGCATACACCAGCAAGGTTCCCACTCTGCCATAAGTGTTCATAATTTTTGTTAAGTAGGAAAACACCCACTGTGTAAACGAAGAAGAAGAGCCTGGAATGTCCACGTCGCTGGGGGGATTGATCGTGTAGTTTGGTCGAGAAGCGTGGTACCAGATACACACATGTGATCACATTAATTATGCGTACTTTGTTGGTGCTGTGGCTAATGACGATAATGCATTTGGCAGAGCTCTTTGTAATGGCTTGAAAATGTTTAACAAGCCACTCGCCACACAGTTCGTATTGTGTGACACCCAGTCATTATATTGCTCTTCTACCACACTGTAATACATCTGTTAAATTAGAACAAACGCCATTTTTTCAAGCCGAGTTTACTCCGCCATACAAGCCTCCTACACAGAGACGGTGCCGAGCAAGTGTCTCAGCAAACGCTGATAAGTTAATTCATTTCGCTTTTAAAGTCAATTTTTACATGGCGTACCTATCGAAATTGACACTAGCCTGACGTCAGTCTTCGGAACAAATTCTGGTGACATCATGCAGCAGTCTGCCTAGTGGTCATGATGACGCAAGTACGAACTGGCCCAATGACCACTTGTGCGTCATCAAAACATTCAAAATGGCCACTTATGCACCACCAAAGGAGCAGAAGGGTCGTGGAAACGTGACGGTATTTTGCACGAGCCTGTGACGAGAAGCTCATGCCTTGTCATGACGTCAGAGTACTGAAGGAACCGAAAGCTCTTAAAACCATACTGTAATTACTTTTTTTCTGGGTGCAGTACGCTTAGCAGTACGTTTTTTTTTTAGACTTGATGACTTGACATGCAATTTGAGGCAAGAAAATTGCAATTGAACATCGTTCGGCCGGTGCCCTTTAACGTGATTTTTTGCCCGACATCACGCCTGTACACCTTCTTTCCATGGTCAATTTACATGGGCCGCTAAACTTGGAAAGAAACGTGTGGAAAACCTATTGTCACAGGCGCCAACGTCCGCCGGTGATTTGAAGCGTGACTAGGTGAGGAAAGGAAATCACCAAAACTAATTCTCAATAAATCTTTTTTTTTTCAAATAGTAGTAAATTTATATGTGTCAAAGTTAACTATGAATTTACTTTACGGTTTATCTGACGCCTGAATAAAAGATTGATAGCCTTAATTTTTGGTAGAGCCAATGGGAAGAAGGAAGCGGATCCAGGCAATCTGCTATCAGAGCTTGATATGATTTGATTGATATGTGGGGTTTAACGTACCAAAACCACCATATGATTATGAGAGACGCCGTAGTGGAGGACTCCGGAAATTTCGACCACCTGGGGTTCTTTAATGTGCACGCAAATCTGAGCACACGGGCCTACAACATTTCCACCTCCATCGGAAATGCAGCCGCCGCAGCCGGGATTTGATCCCGCGACCTGCGGGTCAGCAGCAGAGTACCTTAGCCACTAGACCACCGCGGTGGGGCCTACTATTAGAGCTTGTGCATGGTCAAATCATATCAGTCGTGAAACTTCGAACGTAGAGTGGTCGGAAACCTTTTGCCACAGACATAAACGCTGTCGTACAATTCAAGCGCGACTATAGGTGAGGAGGGAAAATAAAAAACAACAACAAAAAACTCAAGACATTTTTTTAAATATATGCAATCTAAACTATAAATCTGACACTTGGCTAAATGGTTGATAGCTCTTTTTTCTTTGTTTTTTCGGTCGTGTGCCATAAATTAAGAGGGGGGGGGGGGGGTCGGTGTGCATTCAGTCTGGGCTTATTTTTAGTTGGGCACTTTACCGGATCAACGAGGCATCGCACACTTTTGTGTGGTGCATTCGTGCTACCTTCTGTAGGCTATTCATTTGCTTATGTGCTGTTTACTGGCGTGAAATTTCAGAGCTGAACTGGCTGACAAAATGTGTAGATAGCCGCTCCTGTCATTGCCGACTGCTTTCACTGACACACGGCAGGCTTGCCCTCGCCTTTTGTGACGGGGAATGGGACACGCTATATAAGCAACGAAACTCAGTATTCTATAGTTGTCAAAGTGATAATATTCAGGCTGCTGTCTCGCTTAAGGGGTACTCCGAGATTATGCAACGTGAATCTTTGAACTATATTGTGCTATTGTGCTCGTGAAAAGTTGATTCACAATTTCTCTATCTGCAAAGCTTTTGCTGTATCTTAAGTAAATTATTTGAAACATAAAACAACCTTACTTCCTCAATATTTCCTTTTGGCCTTTCTTTTATCTCTCGCATGCTATGGACGAGCCACAAAGTCATTATGACATCGTGTATATATCAAAAAGCATGTAAAAGGTCAGCAATGAAGATGATTTTCAATTTCGCGCGATGTACGGCAAATGCACCACGTCGCTACCACTCCCGGTTGTGACTTCAAATTTTTTTTTTTACTTCTTGTTAGCTTTTAGTTGTCCCCTCAATAAGTAGATGACGATGGTGGCAACGAGCCGTCAACTACTGGATACATGGTCTTCTGTGGAAGTTGCGCTACCAGTTTACATATACCTGGGTTCTTTCTGCGAAGAAGTTTTAAACATCGGTGATAAACTATGATAGAATAGTCGACTGCCACGCAGGGGGTCAGGGTACAAATTCCATCAGGCTCTGCATATTTTTTCCATGTTCATTTTTTTAAAATACGCGTAGTAGCGGTTACTCACCCCGGTGGTGGCGGCGGAAAGTAAAGCAACTGCTGCCCACAAGGAAAATGATGAGGAATGCCGTATATAGTGGAAAGCTTTGGGAATTTACAGAATTTTGTGTTCTTTATCGAGCACCTGAATTCATGCAGGCGGGCGTTCTTTGCATTTCACCTCTATTTAAATGCGACCTGTTTGTGGCCAGGAGTTGCACCCCCGCCTTCGAGCTTGGCAGAGTGACAGCGTGTATACGACGCACTAATCAACCTGCCCAACCATAGTCGTCTAATGGCTAAGGTACTCGGCTGCTGACCCGCAGGTCGCGGGATCAAATCCCGGCTGCTGCGGCTGCATTTCCGATGGAGGCGAAAATGTTGTAGGCCCGTGTGCTCAAATTTGGGTGCACGTTAAAGAATCTTAGGTGGTCGAAATTTGCGGAGCCCTCCACAGCGGCGTCTCTCATAATCATATGGTGGTTTTGGGACGTTGAACCCCACATATCAATCACTAATCCACCTAACTCAGCGGGTAAGACAAACAAGTATGCGTGACAATATTGCGCGTTCAACAGCACACCCGAAAAAGCACGATTGCATGCGTTATATTGACATCTATCACATTTTACTAACTGCTTCTTTTGAATAATGGGATCGATAAGCACCGCGACATCATAAATCTTTCCTGTTCCTAACGTGTTGTGTGGCAACTGAAAAAGCAATCCATTTTGGAGGTTTGATTGCAGAATTGCCAGGAGCTACAAGCGCAAAATCACAATGTGTCTTTAATGTTGGTTAACCTAAAGGCACCATCGAGTTCGCTTATAACGTACAATGCGACAGAACCAACGCTAAAAACACGGAATAACTAAGGAGATACACACACACAAGAAGAGACTCTATAGTAACGAGAACAGAGACAACGCCCGATCACTGGGCTGGCTGTTCTATTCCACTTCGTTCTCTTCTTTTCTCGTAGAGTATGCCCCCCCCCCCCCCCCCCCGTTTTCGCCTTGCCCGGGTACTGCTTTATCTTCCTCACAAGAAATCACTCCTTCTGAGTATACAGGCGGGATGCCACATACGTCAGACGTGCTCGTACGTATGCGATATGACCACTGCGGTTAAAGCGCTGCAGTTTATTGCCGTGTGTGTAATGATCGGCTCCAAGCCAATTGCCTGCACAAACCACCTGCGTAAGTACACGCGGACATGGCACAGATGGTGCTTTTTTTGCGCGAAACTTGAAACGTCCTTGGTCATGTACAGCGCCAAAACATGTTACATCACCGTCTTAAGAGAGAAAGAAAATACATTAGGCTGCCTTCGCCAAAAGCAATGCCAGCTTTGTGGAACATTACGAAGTAGTGCTTGCGTTGATGTCAATCGGTCAGCGTATACGCTAAAGATGCGCAACTCCTTAAGTGCTTTCGACAAAAGCATGGTATGTCCAGGCATAACCATCCATTCGTCAATACAGCATTACTCAACGAGCACCAACTCGTGTATTTTTTTTAGTGTGCCAACGTTCGCAGATATGTGAGGATGACATTGTACTTGCAGTATGAAGGTCTTCGTTTTTAATGTGACTCATATTATATCCTGCGGTAAACAAACTAAAAAAAAACAGTCCTGACTCATGCAGCGCTGTGTGTTTGAGGGACCTTGAGGAGTATTGATGCACTACGTGTACCTGAATCAAAGTTGAAGGCACTACGGTGCTGTTTTCTCTGAGACCTGTATTTGTTCTCATATTTGAGGTATAAATTTATGAGTAATGACATCTGCGGGGTGCTGAATATGTCTTTTCTTAAAGAAAAATGTTTTTTTTTATTTTATTGTCTGAACTATTCGACTACGAAGTGGCCATAATATCCGCGTCTCTTGAGTTTTCCTGTAAAGGAAGGTCACCGCATTTATTCTTCATTACAACACGTTGCACGGAATTACACTCACATAAACTTTAGCCAAATTAGCCAATTCAACGTGTAGGATACAATACGGCGTAGCAGGGTATCCTATAGAGGCTATACACATCTCAATACTGCGGCACATGAAATAACAGATGCTACACTAAATGTGCACGCGAAATGCCAGAACCAATACACGGACTGTGTTTTATGTGCAAGTCAAAGAAGTAGAGCAGTAAAAACTAATCATTCCAATTTCTTTTAACGTACTTGTCACTCCTACCCGATGAGGTGGTCAAGCGGTTACAGGGCTAGACTGCTGATCCAAAATTCGCAAGATTGAATCCCCGCCGTGGCATCCATATTTAGATGGACGATATATGCTATAGAGTTTTGATGCCAGAAAAATGCTGGAGGCTCGTGAACTTAAGGGTTAGGCGCACGTTGAACATCATCACATGTTTATGGCATAACACCTCGATACTAGGGACTATGGTCATAGTATGCGAGGATCTCCCCTACAACGTCCCACATGGTGAAACGGCATAGTTTTTTAGCGTAAACCACTAACAAGTGAGTGTTACATCTGTGAACTTTAGTAGTATATTTTACACTTAATGGACATAATAGCCTACCAGCACCGTTGATAGCTCTCACGGATATTTCTATTTTCTAGTAAATGTATACAGTCGTAGGTATAAAGCATGGATACTTTATGTAGCATACTGACGAAATGTTTAAGAAGCGCCTGTAGTTTTTTGAACTCTCATTTCACGTGTTGCATCAGAAAGGTAACAAGGTGTTGTTTCACTCACTTTCGTACAGAAGGTTTCCGAACAGTTCCCAGCCCCACTGGTGCACGTCTTGCGGCATAGTCTTCCAGGGCCTCCGGTGAACCGCGAATTCCGACAAGCTGATGAGCAGCGCCAAAATGGGGATGGCGCTCAAAAGCAGAGCCCACACCTGCGGCGGACATAACGTCTTAACACGAACCTTCCACAGCGTGTCCTGAAACAGTTTGACGCTATAGCGCCGCGTAGCTTTGGGCTCTGTTGCCAAAATCTACCCATGCACGCCGACATGCAATTCAAGCATATCGAGGTGTTATCTCTGCAACAGCACTGAGCGTTTCGCGGTTGGCATCGGTCAAAGTAGTCCAGGTCACGCGTCGGTACGGTCGTGTTAAATTTGCTAACGACTGTAAAGTGAAGATATATGGCGAACGCTCGAGTCGAACGACGAGCTTTCAGTTATCCTACCTAAGATTGGTTATATATATATATATATATATATATATATATATATATATATATATATATATATATATATATATATATATTGTTGTATAACCAACCTCGCACCTAATAAGAAAACATTGCGTAAAACGCGACATTTCAGGCATCGCAAAGCAAAGGGCCATGCTCCTCCCCTAAGCATGTAGGCAGCAATATCCCACCCCGCCCAGCCAGTCATAATCAGTGATGCTTGCATCTCTGTACGTGCATTACACGCATTCATACTCACGAGCACTCACTCTGCGCCTACACTCACATTACCTCACGCACACGAATATCCTGAGACATGCAGTCACTCATATTACCACTTAACGACAACATTACGACATATAGACGGCTTCGTTTGGGTCTTACCGCTGAATGATGTCCGGATGAGCTTATTTGCAATAAACGCGTTTTGAGTACCTGTCTTATTTATAGCAACACGTTGTCACATTTGTTTCGTTGTGCGAATGCCTCCTGTCAATCAGAGTGGTTCCCGACAGTTTCAGCACGTTCGCTTGTATATTTTTCTTTCTAATGCGCTCACCTTCCAGTCGAAAGTGAGTATGTAGCCGAAGACGTTCGAGGTGCTGGAGTCGCTGGCCGACAGAATGCCGAATGGCACGTATATGATGGCAGGACTGTATTCCCCGACAGCATGACGGTGGTAAGTCTGGATCAGTGGCATGATGGTCATATCCACTTCCTACATTAGGCAGTAAAATACAAGTAATTGCAGTTAACCTGCTTGATCACATGCTCATTCCATTTCACCCTCTTCTTTTTTCTATACCGCAATGCCTAAACAATCGTACTTCACCTTCTATCTCGACCTGCACAGCGTGAAATATTTCAGGTAATTTCTAAGAAGCTCAAGCTTTTCAAGAAGCAGATACAAAATGCACAAAAAATGTGTATCTTAAATGCTCACTTTGCTTTTTTTATTGACTAGACTTATCTGCTAATGGTATGTCCAGTATCACTACTGGCTGAAAACCTTTGTGAAAAGGCTATTCGCAATAGAAAGTACTGCTGAAACCTGATAGCAGACATAGGGTTAACAAAGCACCTGCCCTGTTGTAAAGTTTGGGAACCAAACGCTGGTTGCTAAATTCTTTGTGCGAGAAATTTAGGCCAGCCGTCATACCGGACACATTATTATAGGAGGGCATTAACGAAACTTCCGGACAATTACAAATCAACAACTTTGTGGGTCTGGACCCTTGTAGTCGTCCTCCAAACTTTTCTGTACTTATTCGCCGAACTACCCAAGCTTTCAGATGCGAAGCAGCCTTTTGACTCACGTGTGTAACGCCGTACGTACGTGCGTCCATACGAACGCGCCACAACGCCTTCACTTCGCCGCAGGTGTTGGAGTGGTACCGAGTATGTCACGCCGCAGCTGCACGTAGACGTCACGCTCCCCTCGCGCGCTTCCCTCGCAGAATAGTTTTAAATGTGAAGCATTTCTTAGCGAGCTTCGGCGACTTTGAGCGTATCTATCTATCTATCCGCCTACGACTTTTAGCTCTACTGGCCGTTTCGATAATGGTATCGATAACAAACTTGGTATGGCATGACATGACTGTACGAAGAACTAATTTGACTAGTCATAACATGAAAATCGTAACATGTATGTCATGAATGTCATGATTTACATTTCATGGTCCTGCAGCTCTTGCGGTGGTTTCGTTCACGTGGCATGTTGCAAAACGGGTATGGTATGGCATGATTGCATGGCGAACTCAAGCGACAGACCCTAACATGAAAATCATGGCATGTGTGTCATGCAACAACATGACTACATGTCACAATCATGATGCGCTCGCGGCCGCTTTGCTAGCGTCACATATACGAAATTTGGTAATTACAGTACGTGAATTGATGATGAAAGCATGTGCACAGGTGCAAACATGATAATCATGAGATGCGTACGTGTCATGTAACAACATGACTACGTGCACGCTCATGATGCGCTAGCGGCCGTTTCGCTATTTTCAAATGTACCAAACTCGGTAGTACGCGACGCGAACGGACGACATAGGTAAATGACACATCTAAACATGATAATCATGACATGCGTGTCATGTAACAACATGACTACATGCCACACTGATGATGCGCTAGCGACCGTTTCACTAGCCTCACGTATATGCCACATTGGGTACTATGTGACGCCAATGAATGACGAAGGTCATTGACTGGTGACTGGTGCAAACATAATAAATATGAGGTGCGTGTCATGTCAGAACATGACTACATGCCAAAGTCAAGTCGCCAATACATTTCAGCATGACGCGGTGCGCGTGCTCACCGGCGTTCATTTCGTCGGGTCAAGGCGGCGTTGCTACGCCAGGCACCGGTTCTACCATGTACTCGCAGACAGGCGCCGCCCTGCGTTGCTTTGACGCATGCGCGTTTCAGCTCGTCCGGCATCCCTCCGACATGAATAGAGAGACGCAGTGTGGTCTGGGTAACACATCAGCGTGAAATGCAGCATGTCACATTTCGCGCCGGTTGCTGTCGGGCCGCGCCGACGGATGCTGGTCGCGCCTGGCGTCAGAATATAGATTGTGGTGGTGGTAAAAAACATTTATTTCAGAAAAAGTCTACTAGAGAGTGCCGACGTGGCCCATCGGCGTGCTAGAGTGGCCAGACCCTATTCCGGGACGCCAGTGGAGCTGGAAGCTGTCCGTGCGCGCTCCACCAAGGAGCGTTGCGCAGCCAAGGTAGAGCAGCCGAGCAGGTGCTCCTCCCAAGCCTCTCTAGTTGGGATAGAAAAAGGGGATGAGAAAGGGACGGGATTAACTGGGCACGATGCTACGACGTGATATGTGTCGGCGAGGACATGACAGGTCGAGGAGGTGCCATTGATTTCCGGCAAAAAGTGCCTGGCGACCGCCGGACTGATAAAGGTGTTAGTCTGCAGGCGGCATAGCAGTCGTTCGTCCGCTTTCTCCAAACCGCGTGCGGGGTCCGGGTAGAGGCGGCGCGAAGCCCGGTAATAAGCCAAAATTTCGCGAAAGCGTGTCAGGTTGGTATTGCCAGATTCCGTCTCGGGACATGGAGGGGCAACGGCCCGGACAGGAGAAGCGCGGGCAGCGGCAGTTGCCGCCTCGTTGCCGGGAAGGCCCGAGTGGCCTGGTGTCCAGACTATACGAATGGGATGAGAGTTAAAGCGCCAAGAAGCTGCCTGTAGTAGGCTAGCCGCCAGCGGGGCAATGGAACCCTGAAAATACTGAGAACAGGCCGAGCGCGGGTCCGTCAGGATGGTGCGTGAGGCAGGGTGAGAGGCGGCCAAAGCTATGGCAACCTCTTCAGCGTGCGTTACTGTGTCTGCTCGAAAGGAGAGGCCATCGACGTGTTTGCCCTGTGTAATCACGGCAGCCATGAAGTGACCCGAGGGGGAGGGACCCGAGACGTCCACGTAGAAAACACCAGGACGATCGGAGTGTCGCGTATGAAGGGCCGCGGCGCGTGCTAGTCTACGGCCAGGATGTAGGTCGGGGTTCATATTACGGGGTAGAGGTTCCACCCATAGCTTTTGACGCCAGAGCTCTGGTACCGGCTGCAGAGGGTCTTGGTCAGATATCGGGTTAAGGCCAAGTCTGTGTAGAAGACGGCGCCCTGAAGGCGTCTGCGACAGTCGATTGATTTGGTTAACGCGATGAGCTTCGCGCATCTCTGCAAAGGTGTTGTGTACCCCCAGAACCGCGAATCGGCTGTTGAAAGTAGCAATAGGTAGGTCCAGAGCGCGTTTGTATACTGAACGAAGAAGGACGTCCAGCTGGTGCTCGTGTCGACGACGCAGGCGAAGGTAAGGCAAGGCGTAGAGGACGCGACTGGTCACAAACGCGTGGGCCAATCGGAGGGACTGAGACCCGCGGAGGCCGCCGCACTTGGTAGACACTCGCCGTATCATGCGGCTCACCTGCTCGCTGGTGCGTCTGAGGCCTGCTATTGTGCCCTTTGGATCCAAGGATGATGTGAGGTGAAGGCCAAGAACCCGAATATTTTGCACTGACGGGACAGGCCCGGACGGAAGAAAAATTTTAGGCGGCGGTAGCGGAGAGACTGAAAGAAGAGCCGATTTAGCTGGAGAGCACTCCAGGCCGCATGAACCAGCGTAGGTATACACCAGAAGGGCAGCCTTTTGCAGGCGTCCTTCGATTTGCGCTAAGGAGCCGGTGTTGGTCCAGATTGTGATATCGTCCGCATATAGTGCGTGTTGTAATCCCTCGACCTCGCTTAGAAGAGAGGGGAGGTTCATCATCGCCAGGTTAAAAAGAAGAGGAGACAGGACTGCCCCTTGAGGTGTACCCCGCGTGCCTAATAAGTACGGGCCGTGTTCGGTAGAATTGAGGCGAATGAAGGCGGTGCGATGTGATAGAAAGGCGCGAATGTAGTTGAAAGTCTTCTGCCCGCAGTTTGTGGTAGACAGGTTAGTGAGTATAGTGCTGTGTTTGACGTTGTCGAATGCCCCGCGGAGATCGAGAGCGAGCACAGCTTTATCGTTATGGCGCATAGTAGTCGGCTCTATGATATCGTGTTGAAGCTGGAGCAGGACGTCCTGCGCCGACAGATGCGGGCGAAAGCCAAACATCGTGTCGGCAAAGGTCCTCCTGGCCTCCAAGTAGGCGGAAAGGCGTTCGCGAACCATGGTTTCCATGAGTTTGCCTGCGCAGAACGTAAGTGAGATGGGTCTCAGTGCCTCGATACTAACGGACTTTGCCGATTTGGGTATGAATGTCACGACCGATGTGGTCCATTCCGTTGGCAGCGGAGATCCGTCCCATATCGAATTTATAAGGTGGAGTAGCGAGAGCTGTGCTTGGTCGGGAAGATTTGCCAGGAGCGATACTGTGATTCCGTCGCGTCCAGGGGCCGTGCCCCGTCGCATTTTCGTGAGTGCAAATCGTAAATCGGAAAGCGTGTATGGGGCGTCGAGGTCGTTGTTAGGGGCGCCGGAATACGTATATGCTGGGCCCGCGGGATCAATTGTGCGGCAGATGTAGCGGTCACAAAGTTCTCGCGCGAGTTGATCCGTAGTGCCCTGAAAGGCATGCAGAGCACGGTGGAGCTGGCGTTGCGTTTCTCCCCTGGTGGTGGAGGGATCGAGAAGGCTTCTAAAGAGTCGCCACGCACTCTTAGAGCTCATCTGGTTTGCAGCCTTCAAACAGGTGTCTGCCCAGTTAGCATCGCAAAGTTGTGCAGAGTATGCGGCCGCCTCTGCAGTGAGCGCCTCAATGCGAGCGCGAAGTTTCCGATTAAGTTTGTTGCGTTTCCAGCGCCTTACGAGCCCGCGGCGAGCGTGCCAAAGATGTAGGAGGTGTGGATCGATTTCAGGAGTCAAATTAGAGGTTGCAAGGGTGCGAGTGTTCGCTTGTTTCAAATGAAGGGCGTATGATGCCCACGCTGCATATTCGGTCGAGGAGAGAACGGCGGGAAATGGTTGCATTCTGAACTGAGTCCAATCGGTGAGACGGGCTTGGCCCCAGTGTTGGCGCATTTTCTGCCGCGGTGTGAACGAAATGCGGAGTAAAAAGTGATCGCTGCCTAGGGTTTCGCCTAAATTTTCCCATGTAGCATCGCGGATGTGACGGGTGAGGGAGAGGTCGGGGCATGTGTCTCGCGTGACCGAGTTGCCGGAACGTTTGGGTTGTGCCGGATCGGTAAGAAGCGTGAGGCTCAGCGAGG